TCGAACGATCTAATGCTTGAGAATCCAGTAGCTACAAAAAGGTAAGTAATTTAATGTTAGATTTTTTGATTGATTAAAAAATAAAAAAATATTAAAATATTTTTTTATAGTATTCACCTTCAAATGATTCAATACTTGAGAATCCGATAGCTACAAGAAGGTAAGTAATTTAATTGTTTGTTTGATTGATTAAAAAAAAAATATAAAATATAAAAAATATCATAGGACTTACCTCTGAACGATCAATGCTTGAAGAATTCGATAGCTACAAAAGGTAAGTGATTTTAGTTGTTAGTTACATTGATTGATTTAAAAAATAAATATTAAAAATTTTTTTTTCATATGACTCACTTCCAAACGATCCAATGGTTGAAGAAATCTAGGATTGTCAAATCATGCAAGATTATAATGATGCTAAAGAGTCAAGGCCGAAAAAAAAGCTGTATGTGTACTAAATTAATGAATAAAAAAAAACATCAAATTTTCAACAGTCCTATTATTTTATAAAATAGTCACGTGATGTGCATTTAGAGATCGAATTGTCATATCAAAGGACAGAAAAATTTCTTGCATGTGCAGAACTTGAAGGGTGCATTTAGCTTCTAAGTCCCAAGCTTGGGACTAAAATATTGTGTGCATTTAAAGAGGATGTGCATTTATAGAGGATGCATTTAGAGAGGTCTGACTGTATATTGAGAATAGCTTTAGATATTATTGTGAATCCTTACCTATAATTTCTCAAGTAATTATCTTAGTATTATTTACCCTTTTAAGATTTATTTAAAGTTACAAAATCATTGTAATAATATATTATAAAGAAATAGAATAATCATTAATTTTAGAATTTCTATTATTTGTATTATCTAATTTTTTATTACAATAATGCTCCTTTTTGATTTTCATTAAAATTTTTTCAAACACATTTATGACCATAAAATTTTTTAACTATAATTAGAATTTTTTTATATATTTATATAACTTATTTTTATATTTTATAATGATATATTATTTATTTTGACTAATATACAACAATCGTAATTAACTAAAAATAAAATAAATATAGCTTAATTTAATGTGTATATAATAATATTACACTTAAAAATGTATATGTAAAATGATTTGTAAGATTAAAAGGAAAATCAATTTTATGTTATATTAAAATAATTTATAATATTGTAGAAAAATTAGACAAATAAATGATCTATATTTCTTATTTTCTAAATTTGGTAGCTTAAATTTATTATATAAATAGATCTTATTATGTTATTCACTATTAATGATATTTATTTTATTTTATTTATTTATTTATTTAAATCATTTATTTATTTAAATTATTTTATTTATTTATATTATTATATTATTTTCTTTATTTTATCATTATTAGTATATAAATAAGAACAGTTTATTAATGTAAAAGAGAGAAGAACTTATCTTATAATAATTTTTTAATAATAAATTGCTTAGTATAGACATACCAATAGATACAGTACCAGTCTTTATTTATTAAATAATTAATTACACGTATTTTACCTAATTTATCTAACTTATCTTTATTTCTTTTATTTTATATCCCTATTTTTACTCTTCTATGTGAAGAAAACCTTCTGTTAAACTTTTGATATTATAGGTGTTTTACTCATAATCTAAAAGAACTAATATAATAATAATATATATCACATTTAAATCATATTATATAGTCAATACTTTTATACTCCTTATATATATGCAAATTTAAAATATAATGTCACTATTACTTTTGATCTCACTCTTGTTTATTATTATTAATAATATGTAAACTATTTTAAAACTATGATTTTAAGTATATTAAAATAAATTCTAAAAATATTTGATTGAGAAAAGAATTTATAAAGCAAAAAGTTTCTTATTTTTTATAAGAAGAGAATTAAAAATACAAATATAGCAAAATTTTAATAAGATATAAAGTTAAAATTATCAGAGAAAAGATAAAAATTATAATTTTACGTCTTATTAACATTATATATCTTAATAATTAATAGAAAATAAAAGGTAAAAGTATATTTTTTTAGTATATTATATCATTTTAATAATTAATACAATATCTAAAAAAATTATAAAATATTATTAACAATAGATTATAGAAGCAAATCTAAAATAAGATAGATAATCAATATTTTAAGAATTACAAAAATAAACTAAAATTAAATCAAATAACTAATAATATAAAAACTATAATAATAAACTTAAAAGTATTTAAAACAAAAAAAAATAGTATAGTTAAATTAAAGAATAGAGTGATAATTAAATTATAAAATAATAATAAAATAATATTAATTCAAAATATGAATAGTAGAAAAGACTTAAAAAATAAATAAAATACAAAAAAAAATAATTAGCAAAATATAATACTGATATATAAAAGAAACAGATAAGTTATAAAAGATAGATTATATATTAGTAATCAGATTATAATATTAGATTATAGAGTAGTAATTCAATTATAAAGTGGAATTAAATTATGATTGTATTAACCAGATTATAGAGTAATAATTAGATTATAAAATAATTAAATTATAATTGTATTAGTCAAGTTATAGGATAGTAATTGGATTATAGAATAATAATTATATTATAGAAAAATTATTATAATCTAATTCAAGTGGTATACTACTTTTTAATATATATCTACATACTAAAGAGTGGTTTACTATTATATTTTATGTTAATTATTTTTTATATTAATTTATAAGTTATTTTCTTTATTTATACTAAATACTTTAATAAATATATATATAAATTTATTATAAAAATAACTTAAAAATTATATTTAATATAAAATTAAATTAATAATAAAAATACAAATTATTACTTTATTAATATTACATTTTATTTATAATAATAATTTAAAAATTAAATTATTGTTAAAATTTATTTTTCAATTTTTAATAATAATGGTAACTTTAGATAGTTTAATAAGTTTAATACTTAGATAAAAATAAAAAGATATTTAATCAAGATGTATTATTTAAGTTATACTTTTATAATAGATTATTTAATAGATCTTAATATTAAATAAAAGATTTAATAAGATATATTGGGTGTATATCATTACAGATACTAATATTCTAATATTTTGTCTTTAGTTTTAACAACATTAATAAAAAAAAATGTAAAAATTTTTGACTTATAAGATTTATAGAATTATAGCATATTAAAATATAAATAAAGTTAACATAATGTATTTAATAAAATTATTCTTTTAACGTTGATAATTCTAATTAATTAATTAATTCTTTATGTAAAATCGTCTAACAAATATGTTTACATGACTGACCTATTATCCTCGAGTTATCAATTAGACATACTGATCCTTAAGTAAAAGAGTTATTGTTCAAGTATCTAAGAAAGTAAAGCATCCCAAATCCGATAAATCCTGTTGAGGCGTAATTATTGACACACAAGATAGAATATAAATTTGATATTTCGTAAGATAACCTAAAAATACTTTATTTGAATATCGAGCACATGTATCGATTCCGATTCTTCTAATTTAGTCACAAAAATAAAATAAAAAAAATCTTCGTAACAACCAAATAACTGTATACCTGTAAATAATGATTTTTTCAAATGTTATGATTCTCAGAATCAGCGATTATTTATGTATAATGGTTACAGAAATAAAATGTAACAAAGAAGATGTCAAAATGACAAAGAACGATGTATCAAATCCGCGAATTGTAATCAGTTACTAGTCAATTAAGGGAAATATTGTCACGTCACTATAAATAGATGAGATATTCGTCCCTTAATGACGTATTTTAAAATAAAACCTAATGTGGTAATCATGAGACTGTTTGTTGTATAATTGTCTTTTTCTTAATAAGTAATTTATTTATTTATTAATTAAAAAAACCCATTTCAGGCAAGGTACCCAGAATAGCTAATTTTAGAAATAATATATTAATTTATATAATTCACGATTATATTTTTTTTTTAAGAAAGAAACAAATAATTTTATGTAAGGGATGTTTCGAGTAAAATTATACGATTATGTGCTGATTGAGAGAAATGTCCTTAAATGTAATTCATTCCAGAATTTATATGCAAATGACAGTTTAAATCTGTCATTGTCATTTACGTTGTGTAAACATTATTGCTTGCATAAAACTCGATGAGGAAATCCTCTCTCCTAAACACAATTTTTTTTCGGTTATATCCAAAAGTGAAGATTTAAATAAAAAAACTTTTAAAGAATATGCGAAGATCGGTCGTTATTTGGTTCAAATCAATGAAAGTTGCACAGAATATGTGAGTTATCTATCACACAGCATTTATTTATTTATTTATTTTTTTTTTTTTTTAGAAATTCTATATATGAAACAATGTTCTCTTTCAAATTTAAATGTTAGAAAAAAAATAAATCCTTACGCATTATTAGAGGTGGCGTATTTCTAGTTACCGTATTTGTGATTTATCCCGTCAATTTCCAATTTTTTTTTTTTTAGAGTTTATTTTGTTATTAATAAAAATAAGGCAACACAATATATATTTTTTCACGTATTGGCTTTCTCTTATCATGTGAATTATATATTTTACTCAGAAATTTTTTTCATTTAAGTAAAATTTGATAGATAAGGTACATCAAATAAGATTAAAGTTATTAAAGTTCTCTTTTATCAAAATTAAAAAAAAAACTAAAAATATCAACTGTATTTAAATTAGTATTTGTACAGATTGTGATTGATGCATATTATCCGTCGCTTTGTTTGAAAGTAATTTTTACTGTGAAAAAATTTTCAATTGATATTCCTTATTTGCGTTTTGATTTGATTTGATTTATTTTATTTTATTTTTTTTTTTTGTTTGTGTATTACATAAAAGTAAACAACGAAATAAAATTACGAAAATTATATTCTAGTAAAAAAAAAAAAAAAAAAAAAAAAAAATAATTTAAAAGAGGAAGGATTGATCAGGGAGTTTTTTTTTTCACAATTAAAAAAATTCAAAACAAAAACAATCATATGGCAGATGATCAATCTAATAATACCAGACCTAGTCTTCCGAAAATAAATGTTTATCCAAACCAAGCTTATAGTGGTGGAAAAAATGGATTACCGCGTTCATCACAGAGTCCTCGTCCGTCTCGTCCAGGAACTCCACATTCTCCACATTTAGCATCAGGTTCTCAAAATCAATTTCCATATCAATATCAATATCAAAAACAACAACAAGGTCCACCATCACCTTCAAGACCGTATGCTACTTACCCACAAAGTCCGCCATCACCTTCAAGACCGTTTGCTACATACCCACAATGTCCGCCCTCACCTTCGAGACCGTTTGCTACGTTTCCACAAGGTCCACCATCGCCAAAATTACCATATAATTCGTTACATCGTGCTCCGGTCAATCCATTACCACATAATAATAACTTTTATAAGTCAGGTCCACAACGAGGTCCTTCTTTTCCTGACCCGTTGCAAAGACCTTTATACAACCAATCTTCACAAAATTCTCGAAATTCAAGTATGGTAGATTTTGGAAATGATAGTACCAGATCTTCAAACTCACAAGATCGTGGTGTTGAGAATATAGAAGGTTTCGGTTATGAAGCTGGTCTTGCTCCTTCCAAAGAACCTTCGACAAAATATGATGTTTCAGTAGAAGAAGAAATTAAAGATTTTGATAATGATAATTATATTAATAATAACATTCATAATAATTACAATAATGCGAATTTTGGCTTTGGATATAATCATCAAAATACTTCTAGACAATTTCAACCTTCGGCTCCATCTCATACATCTTGGAGTTCCGGTAATGGTAAAATTCCCGTATCAAAAGAAGAGATTGCAGAAATTTTCACAGACCTTACAAATAAATTTGGTTTTCAAAAAGAAAATATGAAAAATATGCTTGATCATTTTATGATTATGTTGGATTCTCGTTCCTCAAGGATGACACCATCTCAAGCTTTATTAAGTCTTCATGCTGATTATATCGGTGGAACTCATGCGAATTATCGTAAATGGTATTTTACTGCAAAAATGGATGTGGATGACGAACTTTCCTCAACGGAAAATGATCTACGTGAATGGAATCGACGAATGAATGCTATGTCACAACAAGCCAGGGCGCGTCAATTGGCCTTATGGCTTTTGTTATGGGGCGAAGCAGCACAAGTTCGTTTTATGAGCGAATGTTTATGCTTCATCTTTAAATTAGCAAATGATTATCTTAATAGTCCCAATTGTGACGAAAATGCATCCGTACCTGAAGGGGAATATCTTAAAAATGTTATAACACCTCTTTATAAATACATTCGTGATCAAGGTTATGAAGTTCAATCAGGAAAATTTGTGAAGAAAGAAAAGGACCATGTTGACACAATAGGATATGATGATATCAATGAACTTTTTTGGTATCCGGAAATGATAAATCGCATAGCCTTACAAGATGGGACTAGTCTTATATCTTTACCTCGTGAGCAACGATATTTAAGCCTTGGTCAAGTGAATTGGGATCGTGTCTTTGTCAAAACATACAAGGAAAAACGTACATGGCTCCATTTGATAGTTAACTTTACTCGGATATGGATTATTCACGTTTCGGTCTTTTGGTATTACGTAGCTTATAGTGCACCACTTATATATACAAGCGAAGAAGTGGAAGAGCCGGCGGTACATATGTCCGTTATTGCTTTCGGAGGCGCTATTTCGGCATTTTTTATGCTCTTTGCGAATATTTGCGAATTCTTTTTCATTCCATTAACTAAAGGAAATGTAAAAATGTTGCTTCGACGATTCACATTTTTATTCATTATATTAATCGTGAACGCTGCACCAACCTATTACATAGTAATGATGTCTCGTAGAGGTTCAACATCCCTTATAATAGCAATCGTGCAACTCATATTTTCATTAATTACCACAGTAGTATTTGCTATAGCTCCAAGTGCTCGATTATTTGGTGGACCACCAAAAGGTTCTCAAAAATATATGGCACTTCACACCTTTACCTCCAATTACGCTTCCCTAAGTATTAGAGATCGTGTAATCTCAATTGGACTTTGGTGCTGCATCTTTGCGTCCAAATTCGTAGAGTCATACTTTTTTTTGATTTTATATCTAAAAGATTCACTCGAAACGATGTTTAAAATGAGAGTACCTGATTGTAATGATAGATTTTTTGGAAATTACCTGTGTTCTCTCATGCCATTGTTAATTACCATATTTTTATTCTTCTTGGATCTTGTGCTTTTCTTTTTGGACACGTACCTTTGGTATGTGGTTTGGAATACAATTTTCTCAATGATATATGCTCTCACACTTAGGAGTTCGGTCTTTACCTCTTGGAAAAACATCATTTCCATGATACCGGAACGTATTTACACAAAAATCTTGGCCACAAACAATATGGAAGTTCAATATCAACCAATAGTTCTTGTGCCGCAAATTTGGAATGCAATTATTTATTCCATGTATAATAAAAATCTACTGTCATTCGAAAACGTTCGAAAATTAACTTATACACAGGTTGGTGATTATTCATTGAATTTTAACGATTCGATTCTAAAAAACGTTTTTATTAACATCCTTATTAAACATATTTTATAGGTCCTTGGGCCAAATGGTGACGTCATATCGAATCCTCCCACCCTCTTTGTAGATTGTAATGATAAACAATGTTATCCATCGATGAGTGAAGCTGATCGTCGTATCACGTTTTTTGCGCAAAGTTTATCGAATTCCATTCCGAACCCTTTACCGGTTCAAAACATGCCAACATTTACCGTTCTAACACCTCATTATTCGGAAAAGATTCTTCTTACTCTTCGTGAAATTATTCGTGGAGAGGATCAAAATACTCGTTATACTTTATTAGAATATTTAAAAAAATTATATCCAGTTGAATGGGAAAACTTTATCACAGATACAAAGATCATGTCCGAGGAGGAGAACAAAATGTCTGTAGATTATAATTCGGAAAAGGAAGACGAAGAGGATGATGATGACGATGATGATGAGAAAAAAGCTGATGACATCGTAGTTGATATGGTTGGTTTCAAAAATTCTTCACCTGAATATACTTTGCGTACGCGTATATGGGCTTCTCTTCGTACACAAACTTTATACCGTACCATTTCGGGATTCATGAATTATTCGGAAGCCATCAAACTTTTATATAGTGTCGAAAATCCTGACATATATAATTCATATGCTGATCATCCAGAGGAATTTGAAAATGAGATGGAATTAATGGCCCGTCGTAAATTTAAATTCATAGTTTCCATGCAAAGGTATAATGAATTTGATAAGGAGGAACAGGAAGAAGCGGATTTCTTATTAAATGTTTACCCGGATCTTCTAATTGCTTACATTGAGGAAGTGCCACCAGAACAAGAAGGAGGTGAACCCACCGTCTTTTCCGTCTTAATTGACGGCCACTGTGAATTATTACCAGATGGGAAACGTAAGCCAAAATATCGAATTCAACTTCCCGGTAATCCAATTCTCGGTGATGGTAAATCCGATAATCAAAATCATGCAATCATCTTTTATCGTGGTGAATATCTTCAATTAATTGACGCGAATCAAGACCATTACCTTGAGGAATGTATCAAGATTAGAAATGTTCTTTCAGAATTTGAACAATATGATATGTCTAAGAAACCTTATTCACCCAGCGCTGAAAATGTACCCAGTCCTATTGCTATCGTCGGGGCTCGTGAATATATCTTCTCCGAGAATTGCGGTGCCCTTGGAGATGTTGCGGCAAGGAAAGAACAAACCTTTGGTACATTAACTCAACGTATCGTTGCTAAAGTAGGGGGTAGATTACATTATGGTCATCCGGATTTCTTGAATGGCATTTTCATGACAACGCGTGGTGGTATATCCAAAGCACAAAAAGGGTTACATCTTAATGAAGATATTTACGCTGGTATGAATGCGTTCATTCGTGGTGGTCGTATTAAACATTCAGAATATATTCAGTGTGGTAAAGGACGTGATCTTGGTTTTAGTTCAATTCTTAATTTTACGACAAAGATTGGCACCGGTATGGGAGAGCAAATGTTATCAAGGGAATATTATTATATTGGAACGCAACTCGATTTGGATAGATTCTTGACCTTTTATTACGCTCATCCCGGTTTTCATGTCAACAATACGTTCATCATGTTATCAATTCAACTTTTCATCCTTTGTATGGTATTCGTTGGTGCGTTGAAGGCTGGCATAAATGAAGAAATCTGTGACAATAGTCTTAAAAAATCAGAACAAGTAGAGGGCTGTTATGATTTTGATCCTCTAACTGAATGGATAAAACGTTCGATCATTTCGATCGTCATTGTACTCTTTGTCACTTTCTTACCATTATTCTTGCAGGAATTGATAGAAAAAAATTTCCTGCGTAGCTTTATTTGTCTTTGCAGGCATTTCATGTCATTGTCACCATTCTTTGAAGTCTTCACCACAAAAATATATGCTAATAGTCTTATAACAAATCTTCGTTTCGGTGGTGCTCGTTATATCGGTACCGGTCGTGGGTTCGCTACAACGCGTCTTAAATTTTATGTTCTCTACTCAAATTTCGCTGGATCAGGCATTTACGTTGGAATGAAGATGGTACTGATGTTAACTTTTGTTTCCATTACTTCGTGGCTACCACATTTGACCTACCTTTGGGCTTCAGTTATAGCACTTTGTATTTCACCATTTTTATTCAATCCACATCAATTTGCTTTAACCGAATTTATAATTGATTATCGGGAATTCTTGAGGTGGATGTCTCGTGGGAATTCAAAAACTCATGATAAATCTTGGATTGCTTACTGTCGGTTTTCAAGGACGATGATTACTGGTTATAAACGGAAACGATTGGGACATCCTTCCGAGGATAAAGTTGGAGATATTCCACGTCCCGGTATTAGCGTCATCTTTATGTCAGAAATTCTCATTCAATTAGCATCGGCAGCTCTTTGTATTATAGCTTTCATGTTTGTAAAAAGTCGTGAACCAAATGCGAAAAAGACGAGTGGTGTAATTGTCGTATGTGCTATCGCAATTGGACCCATGTTGTTGAATGCGGTAATGTTGGCCGGACTTTTCATCGTTTCCTTCTTTTTGCAACCTATATTTAGATTTGAACGATTTGGTTCCGCGATCGCCGTCATAGCACATGCTTGGGCAATCATCAACTTGATTGGAGCTTTTGAACTTTTATGGATTTTGGAAGGGAAGTTGGAGAACGCAGTTTTGGGTATGATTTGTTTAGCGGCCATACAAAATTTTGTATTTAAATTGATGATCACAATATTTTTGTCACGAGAATTTAAACATGATGAAACAAATCGAGCATGGTGGACAGGAAAATGGCTCGGGAGAGGACTTGGAATATCGGTCGCAACACAACCGTTCCGTGAATATATATGTAAAATAGTTGAAATGTCACTTTTTGCAACAGATTTTATATTAGGACACGTATTACTCTTTATGTTGGTGCCATTTTGTCTAATACCACGAATTGATAAAATACATTCTACCATGTTATTCTGGTTAAAACCAAGCAAACAAGAAAGGCCACCAATTTATTCAGCAAAAGCTCAAAAACATAGAAATCGCATTTTATGGACTTATGGAACATTATTTTTCTTAATGTTACTGATCTTTGTAGCATTAGTAGCCTTACCTAGTAAATTCTTAAATATTAAATTACCACTTCCCTACATTTAAAAAATTAAACCAAAAAAAAAAAAATAATACTAATAATAATAATAATTTCTCAATTTAACAATTTCCTTTCTAAAAAAAAAAAAAAAAAAAAAAAGAGAGAAAAAGACTTTATTATCGAATCTTTTTTTAATTTTCCTCCATTCCTCTAGAGTTTTTTTATTATTAATCACTGTAATCATTGTAGCAAATTTCTTTGTAATTATCTTTTTTTTGTTTTTTATTTCTTCACAATTTTTCAAGTAAATAAAAAGTAAATAATTTTTCTTTAACCATAAAATGACAGTGTCGATCATAGATCCTAAAAAGGATTTTGAACATCCGGAACAACGACTCATTGTTTTAAAGGCGTAGTGCACGTTTTTTCCGGATGGTTTTTTGTTTTTTTTTTCAGATTACCAAATATAAATAAATCTATTAATATCTATTAATATAATAAAAAATTCTTGTGTCACCGCTGACCTTTAGAGTATCTGTATAAATTAATTAA